CCTCCCCGTTCTAGACTCTATTCCCCAAGACGCAGCCGGGCGCCCGCCCCGCGTGCTTCCTTCCGGCGCGCCGTGCGCAGGCGCGCGTGGGCCGCCCCTCATTGGCGGCGGCGGCCTCGTGCGATGATGACGCTTTAGGGCAAGGAGGAGGCGACAAGGCCGGGCAGGCGGCGGCGGCGGTGGCGGTGGCGGCAGCGGTGGCCGCTGGAGGAGGAGGGGGGGCGGCGGGCAGCACCTCGCGGGCGCCGGCCCTTGCCAGGTGAGTGTCCCCGGGGTGTGTGTGTGTGTGTGGGACGATGACACGACTCGGTCGCCTTTGCTCCGGAGGGGGTGGCCGCGGCCTGGCCGCCGCCCGCGGGGCTGGGAGTCCCAGCGGCGCCCCCGCTCGGCGGGGTGCTGAGGGGGAGCCCTGTCGGGGCTTGGGGGAGGGATATGATCGTTTCCTTCCCTCACGCCGCTCCCCGGAGACGACGGCGGGTCGGGGCCGCGGCTGCCCCCTTCACGGGTGGTTGGGGTGCTGGGGGAAGGCCGGCGGTGGGCGCTGCCCCTCGGTGCGGCGGGGGAGCGGGCCCTGCGGGTGGTTGGCCGGGGGCAGGAGACAGGCCGGGCTTGCGGTCACGGTGTGGGCTTAGGGGCGCGAAGGAGAGCTTGGAAATGCTCGGCTGGAGGAGGCTTTAGGCCGGCGAAGCGCTCTTTAAGTGGGTCAAGAGCACTGTAAGTGGGTCTTGGTTGTAGCCTTCTGCGCACTTGTTGCTTGTCAGGACAGGGGAATTGGCTGCCGCTCCTCAAAAGCTTTTTACAGAGGCGGTGAAAATGATAACTTCTGCGCTTACACAATATAGGGACCTTGCCTTGCCCTGCAGAGCGCTGTGTGCGTGTGTTTATGTGTACATATAATCTGTAAACACTGGACTTATCAACCGTAGGTAATGTAAATACTCATCAGGAGTGTAACCACAATTTGGATATTCTCAAGTGACAGTTTAGAAAACTTTTTAAAAAGTTGTGTGTGGTTTTTTTTAAATTTTTTTTATTTTTCTGAAAGAATCAGGTATTCATCTCTTGTTTGCTTGGGATGAGCAACAAAGACGTTGAAACATATGGTAATCGACTAGAAGACAAAGAAGATATGACAGCTGTTGTTGCTACTGAGCTCTTTGGGCAGTGTTGGTGTCTTTTTGTATCTGTCTTAGCTTTACGACTCACTTGGTTTAGTGGCTTTAATAGATGAATATGTTGGCATATAGGTTTAAGAAAACCATTAATATTGAATTATAACTTATTTGATATACAGGCTTTGTCACTTCATGTATCCACTATATTGCATGCACCTGTCACGTAGCTGAAAATCTTTTAGATATTATTCTGTATTTAAAGGTGCATTTTGTCCATTGTGCAGCATTCAAGTTTGTCAGGCAGTTGAATTGCTCTGTGTATTGCAACTGTGTTTGTATATTTTTTTTTAAGTGGAATTTTCTTTTTACATTAGCCAGGCCCTCTGGGCAAGTCCTTCTGGCTGTAATGTGGTTTTCAAGAGTTGAGGTCTTAATGTGTAATTTAAACTCCTGTTTTCATTCCCTTGCCGTAGTCAGTGTCAGGGAGTATTAAATTCCTGGTTACATCCTGGCTGTGATCTTCACAGATCTGGAAGTCAGTGAAGAGCTATGTACTGCACAGTCCTCTCTCTGAGTTATATTGTAAAAATTCTGGCTTTTCAGAGGCCTTCTTGTAGCATTTCAGTAGCGAGGTGCTTGCTTTCTATAGAATCTTGATGACACTGCTTCAAATTTAATGATAGCTGCTATAACAGAGGAAAATACGTTTATGATGGAGAGAATGAGACGTTGTGTCATAGAATTATGGGCGCAGTGCAGTCATAAAACACAGCCTGTTTTCCTTGTTATCGTTGGCTATGAGCTAATATTGTTTATACAAGAAAGGAAGCGATCATGTTCTGGGTTTGTTTTTGTTTTTCCTGCGGGGTTACTAGCCAGTTCCAGTTGCGAAGATTTTATGCTGTGGCTCTTATGTTATAGGGATAACTTACGATGTGCAACCTTCATCTGTACTGTGACGCTTAATCCTATATGAAGACTGTGAGTGTGTGGTAGTAGGCAACTCGGAAGAAGTCCATTGTTGTGCTGGAAGTGAAGGATTAGTTGATAAAATAGGGAAATGACAACTAAATATGGTTAAACAGGCCTGTGGATAAGGTGGTTGGCAGCTTCACGGTGAAAACCATGGAGAATAGCTGCTAATGTGGATAACTGAATTGGAATTAGTAATGGAGGGGTTAAAAGCTGCCCCCAAACTCTGTCCAGGTTTTCAAAATTATGCTTTCTGAGTATAAATCTGAAAAGAAGAAATAATCTGGTGTGAAGGACGAGAGTGTATTCCTGGCATACTTCTTAAGCAAAACCCTTCATGGTGAAAATTCCTTAGACAAATTCTTATCCATTATATCTGTGTTCTCAAACGTAAATATAAAATGCCATGAGTATAGGAGCTTACATTGTATCAGGTCTTCAAGAGAGCCAGAAAAACCAAGAGCTCCCCCTTTCCCCTCGTTCCCTCCCCCTGCCTCCAGTCTTTACACCGAGGGAGTTGTATCAGTGCTGTTGAGCTGTTGACATTACTACTGGTTTGCTCAAGTGACTAGTGAGCAGTGGTTTTGGGAGTGTGGGTGAGATTCAGACTTGAAGGCTGACTCCTGGATACAGGATGAAAAGGCTGGGGTTTGAAAAGCCTGTGCTTGCTCTAGGCAAGAGTTTCTGTTGACTTTTCGTGAAGGAAAATTAATGTGAATTGGCAGGGCATGTAATGCCAGTGATTTTAATGCTTGGGTCTCTGCTGTTATTTTATGTCTTCAGTTGCATGTTCAAGTAGCTGTGTCAAGCATTCATGTACAGAAGATGCTGAATATTAGGCAATAAAAATTTTTGCAAGTTTTATAGGTTTCTGGTTGTAAAACTGTGTTGTCCAAGATGCTGTGTGAAGAAACAAGGCTTGCTTTCGTCAGTGGAGATGCTGTCTGTGCATGAGGAAAATCATGATAAGGAAACTTCAGGAGGTTGTCGGATTATTATGCCATCAGCAATTCGAATGCTTAAACAGAAGTGGTTCTGAAATGGAAATAGCAGTTTTGAGTATTTATGATTTGAAACTGTCTGTGTCTGAGTCATTCAGTGAATTTTCTGGCAGACGGTGTTGGTAGATGTGAAAAGACATTACACAAGATAATGTCAGTGATTATGAAAAGTATTTGGGACAGTGTTTAAGGGGAAGACTACTACTTTGAAGTGTATTGTTCTCTGATAAAACTTGTTCTAAATGCCTTGTCCTTTCTACAAGACATTGTATTCCAGCTGGTTGTAGTTAACGTGGTGACGAGCTGCCTTTGCTTTTTAAAGTAATATATTTGTCAAGGCAAGTTCAATACTGATTTTCAAAAATGAAGAATATAGAGACAATCAAGGTACAAGTTCTACTTCTTCAGAAAGCAGTTAACTTTGAAACATTGTTAACTTTCACTTGTTTATTTGAATATGGTCCTACTGCCGGAACATTTTACTTTTGAAGGAGGATGCTGCAGATCAGTATGTAAACTAGTGAGAAGCAGGAGGTGAGTTATTTCCTCGTAGTTCCTGTTGCAGTGTTTTGAAAAGAACAACCTCCTGCCTCCTGTGTGGCAATAGCTATGAGCAAGGGATACAGGCTTTTATCATCGGGTAACTGCAAAACTGGGCTGGAGTTTAATGTGCTCAGTGATTACATATGTTTTCTGCAACGTTTGTCTCAATGGTTTGACATAAAAATAAAATTTTCATCTTAGTCCAGTTCGAAGATGAACCTCCCAAGTTTATTTTTAGGGCACAGTGACAATCTTTTTGTATGCCAAAGTCTGCTCCCCATGTTATGATGTGGCAGCTGGTGTGGTGATAAGCAGACAGCCTCTCTCAGGAAAGGAGGTGCCACAGCTTCTGCTGCTGCTTGATTTGAGAAGTAGTGAAGAACTTGAGGTGAGGAGGTGTTCACAAAATTAAGGTGCTGAGGATTTTAAAGGGGAAATATTATATGTTTAATACCAATTTGCCCTCTGATTTAACATGATTTTCAGTTTTAATTTCCTTGGAATGTTCAGAACCTCATGGAAATACCTGTGTCCTTAACAGTTTTTAGTTAAATGGCATCTGTTTGAGTTATGATATAGCCTGGGTAGGAAGAAAATCACTGACTGGGTTGTGTTTGTGGGTTTTTGTTTTATTTGTAGCTTAATGGTCTCTGAAGTAGATTAAATATTTTGTAGGGATGATGGGCATAATATAAAATTAATGCCAGTTGTATTTGTTGTTGCACATAGCTACGATCACTCCTGTATTCTAGAGTTACAGATCTCTGCTGCTCTGCTAGTGGAGAAGAGAGTCTGTTTTTGTAGCCATGCAGGATTGTTTGGTCTTCTGTGAACTGTATGTCAGCGAATGTTTCAGGACTTCTCAGGGCTTGTGGTTAAATTACTTGCAGAAAGGCATCTTCAAGCGTATAGGTAGATAAAAGGTTCACAGGACATGTGATTGTCAGTGTAGAAAAATTTGCAGCGTGGTTCAGATGGATTTCAGTAGCTGTGAAAATGTAACGGAGTCTGCTGGGATGTGCCAGCTGCTGTAGCGCTCTGTGAACAGGACTAATTAAGCCCTTGTGAGAACAGAAAATAGTCAGGCACTATTTACAGGCAGAAAGTGTTGGAACAGTCAGAGCTATAATCATTGGCTCTGAGGTACCTTTAGACAGCAGTAAGCAAGAGAGTAGACAATTTACTTGCAGAAAGGGGTTGAAAGTCAAGTCTGAATACTTAAAATGGGTATTGCAATGTTCTGCCAGCAAATCTAAGTACATTGCAAACTTCAGTGGAGACCTGCTGCAGGAAAGGCTACTTTTTTTTTTCCTCCTTGTCTTATTATCTTCTTTCTGGCAGTATTTTATCTCAGAGTGGTTAGCATTTGCGTTTCTTCATCTGATGCTGAAAACCAAACTTATACTAGATATAGGTGTCATAACGTTACAGTGCTGCCTGCATTTAAATAGGTCATGTAAAAGTCTAGCTGTCTTTGATGTGAATTGTTTTTCTAAATGGAGCTATGATTGTCTGTATAGCCTAGCCACACCTTATAAGCCCACCAAAGCCTTTTTTCATATATGTTCATCCAATTTCCTTCCTTCTCTTAACCAAACTAAATGTTCTTTTCCCCAGCCTGTTTGATT